TGGCTGCAGTTGGATGATATTGTACAGGAGTCCATCATTTTCCCTCATGTGTCATATAACATGTATAATATACAGGATATAACCTGTTCCAGTCTTTGTGCTAAGCTAAACTAACCGGCTGCTGGTGTTGCTTCATATGAGTGAGAGTGCTGTCTCGTCTAACACTCTTTTGCTTTCTTTCTCCTGCTTTACAATTACACTTAGGCTCAAATCATAAGAATGATAGACAGACCGTATGATGACCATGTAGCCAGGTGTGGCTCCCAGAGAGTTGATAAAGGAGCTGAGGACAGATACAGCCATGTAAGAGGTGAAACTTCGGCTGCAGTCCTTGGCATGGGGACACTGGCCCAGCCTCACGGACGTACTGCTGCCTGCTGGGTAGGAGGCGGACACACAGCTGCAGTTGTGAAAGACCTGGCAAAGAGAGATCAACTGCAATGTAGCGGGAGCACTTACTGGAAACTAAAGTGAAGCACAACCTAATTAATACTTGTAAAACATGTATTTACTTAGAGTCATCAATCTGCTGTAAGCAAGTTATTTTCCCACAGTGATTTCTTGACAGTGAAGTAGCGGATTAGTGTTTTTGAATTATATATTCTGTAGTGACCTTACTTTGGGTTGAAACATAATACATGCTTTGCATATTACTCATGCTGCTGTCGTCAAGAAATCTAATAAACCTTCATTAAATAATAACCGTTGTCATTAAATTAGGCAACAAATGTGATTAAATACATAATTCTGATATGTAGGACCTTAAAAAACAAATGTGCAGTAATGAAATATTAACTAATACAGATATACTGAAAGGACTTTGAATGAGCTCTTGGTAGTAACTCCAGAGAAAAGAACATGAATTTATGCTTTGATAAAGTAACTATTTCTTAGACAGCGGAGAGTGTATAAACAGGGAGAGAAAGTGAAGGAATTAATACTCTAATTCTTCTCTGGGGTTGTAGTGATTAAACTCTTTCCTTCAATCAAATGTTCAAGGTTTATCAAAGCACGTTCTCTTGGTGTGCCTTAGGAATTGGGGCTGCATGGTACTGCTGATAAACATGTCTAATCTGTTTATGGTAATGCTGTTCAATGATTTTAAAAAGGTGATGATCATTTTGAAAGTTTACATTTCAGTGTGATAGATAACTGTTTGAATTGTGAAAGTAGTCAAGGAACTCTGGATGCTTCAGACCCTAATCTATTCCTCTAACTGACTGATGGGCAGGTTTATCGTGGACACTGTATGTTTGTGCGTTCACAGTGTGCAGACCTACTGTGTTCTTGCCATATCCACTAGAGCTGATGCAGCCGGCCATACATGGAGATATGTAGGTGATGCCACTGTCTGAGCACACAGGGTCCCACTCCTCTGCTGAACAGGAGCAGTCCCTGTTACACTCTGAGAAGAGCATTTCTCTGTTGCTTGACACACTCTGCGTCCTGCAGGGCAAAAAGGGGTTTTATATTTTATATTAGCTGCAGGTTGTACAAATCTGAATTACTGTATTTTGGCCCCGTAAAAACAGTTCTTATGGTACATTATTTTGTTTTGTTTGGGCTGGTAAAACATCCATATGTACCCCTTCATATTTCAGCACTGACCCATTGTATGAGATGGTGAGCCCAGCCACGGGAATGTTATCACACTTGGTGCCAAACTGCAGCAGCAGGAGGAGGTATGCCATAAAGGATGTGGCAAAGGAGAGCTGAGCTCCTGACACCAAACTCAGTTTATACCTCTTCATCAGCAGCCCTCCCAGGAAGATCCCCACTGCCACCGCTGGCAGGTTCAACACACCTAGAAGAAAAACACGAGGGGGAGGCCACTCTTACAGTAAGAATCACACACCCTAAGATGTTTTGTTGTGTACCATGAGTCGCAAGGCACTGCTTCTGACTTTTTTAATTTTATCTACAGGACAAGTACTGCCTAATCATAAAAATCTCTCTGAGCGAGCAGTGTTCAGTTAGTTGCAATCTGCAACTTTACCACTAGATGCCACTAAATCCCACACACTGGTCCTTTAAGATATTGCAGACTACTGAGACAGTTTTTGTTTTACTTTATGAGGATTCTCTACTTACTTATTCTCTACCACTGTTTCACTACATTTTAGCATTTGTAGTGAATTTAGATCAGTTCCCTTTAAGCTATTTAAAAAAATAAAAACTGATTGAGGCATGAAAAAAATACTAATTAAATATTCAACAGTCTCACAGCCCTAGGGAAGGAGCCTTCAAGCTTAATGCAAATTGTTTGTTCTTGAATATATTCCTGTGTGCTTCAGAAACTTTTGAACTTTTGGTTGCACTGCACTCTGCTTCATGTCATTTTGTTCTGCGAGTGCTTGTTGTTTCCAGAAATCTACTCTCAAGGGTCAAGCCAATAGAAGATGAAGTAATCACAACACCATTATCCCATAAATGTAACTTTTAACCGTTATTCAGCAATAGCATCGCTAAGGGAAGAGCAGAGGTGTAAATGTACAAGGTTTTCTACATATACCAACTATATATATTTTTTTTTACCTATGAGGAAGTTGGCTCTGGATGCGGACTGTCCAAACTGTTGTTCCATGTATTTGGCTTTGAAGGTAAACAGACCGATGAAAGAGTTGAACTTCAGGATGCTCCCACAGAGCAGCAGGAAATAGGCAGGAGTTCCCAACAGACGCTTCAGTGAGGGAAGAAAACCTGTGGAAGAACATCCAGTAAAAATACAACATGACCATAAACCTGCACACATGCTGTAATTTAGTAAAATACCAAATCTGTACTAAATATGTGAATTTATATTGGAAATGCAATGAAGTGTCACCAGTGGTCTGTTATGGAAAGAAGAAGAGGGTTTTTTGGACCTTTAGCGATGTCAGTCAGCTTGAGGTTGTGATTGTTGTTGAGGGCATCCTCTGTCCCATCGAGGTTCTCGCGCCTGTCCTTGTCTCCCTCCTGCTTTGGCAGTGAGCGGGGCAGGAACCAGAAGGGAATGCTGGAGATGAGCAGGAGGGCAGATGACACAATGAAGCCCATCCACCAGGCTCCCACCCAGCGGGCATCTTTAGGAGTGATGGTCACACTTTCTGGATGACAGAAAAGAGTTTCCGAGTGAGTTAACAGCAAGAGCAGGAAGCCTGACGTGTGTTTAATTTTTAACTTTCGTTTGTAATTGTAATCTGTTACTTCTTCGGTGTTAAGGGGCCGGATATTGTTTGGGAAAAACAGACTAATTGTGTCTTAATTATCCGTAATGGGACACTCTTAACACACTTTAGATGGCCTGATTGAGTTTATTTGACTAATAAATGATTGTACATTATATATCTGTGATAGTCAGGACAATTCCTCCAAGGGACTCTCAGAAAAGTCCTCACTAACCTGTCCTGACAGGTGAGCAGCCTATTTTTATGGAAGTGTCAGTCTGAACCAAAGCTCCAGGTATAGTCTCCACTGTCAAAACATGAAATTCTAGTAGTGTTTGAAAATAATTAGCCACAGAGAAGAGATAACCCTGTTTCACAGTCATTCTTGTTGCTTTTATTACGTATTTTACCTGTTATGATTAGAGGGGCTTTTATTTTAAAAATGACTCTGTTACTTCAAGATCCTACCTCGTGCAACGGTAGAAAGGAAAGGACATAGAGAGAAACGTTCAGCACCCCCCAAAGAGGCACAAAGTTATTATCTGTTGTAAAACTGTCATATTGTATTAAGATTCAGTTTGAGTTCAACACCTTTAAAACGGACTACAAACCAGCAAACTGATTTCCTGCACATCCTGCACTGTCCACATTTAGGCTATGGTAATGCTCTGAGTGTGGGAAAGTAGCTAACATATTTGTTGTTTTGTTTTTGTAGTGAGCTCTAATGTGGGTTTTTTTGGGAATTTCCAATAAATAAATTCCTCAGTTCAGGTACCAGACCATCTTTCAGTGGGATATGTCTCACCTCTTACAGAACAGACAAACTTCTATTTAAATCACTCCAGCTCTCTAACAAATAGTCTTTCATTTCAGACAGAAGCAGATAAGAGCATCTCAGCTTCTCATTTCTAGCCAGTCAGATTTATCAGCTAAAAGGAGGAATGCAGCTGTAACTAGTCAGCTAATTAAGCTAACATTAGCTTTTAGAGTAAAGATTAACCATAACTGTTGTTACATGCATACAAATGCATTGTTCTTACCCATGTCAACATATCCAATGTCGACATACAGTTTGGCACAATAGGAGCCTAGGAGGAAACCAAACATGGGGCCCAGCAGAGTAATGGTCTGGAGACAAGCTGCAAATCACAAAATCATTTACTCAATGAATTTGTTCAGTTACTGCCCTCTGACAGTGCTTATTAACTTATTATTTATGGGTCCAATTAAATTATTTAACATAATCATTACATTTGGACACTTTCAAAATCCCACTTGAAATCCAAAATGAGCAATGATATCTTACCTATATAAAACGGTGAGTTTTCTGCTTTAGCAAAGTCGTCGACGTAGGAGATTCCCAAAGGTGTGACCGGGGTTTCTCCAATCCCTCGCAGAGCGTTCCCAAGGAACACATAGATCCACATGTTGGAACCAGACTCCCTTACACAGGCTCCATAAAGACACACATTAGGAATACATGTGATTAATTTTGTCACGATCTGAGAAACAGTGATTTTCATGGACACTGCTTTATATTGTCACCAAAGGCCAGTGCATTTCCTTAACGCAAATGTAGAAAATACATAAACCGCATTGCATGTGAGTGAATGTGCATGTTTCGTGTGTGTATGTGTGTGTACGTATTGTCTGACAAAGAAAAAATCCATCAAATTTTGTGTGGAACCCCCTCCCACAGGTTATTCAGAAAAGATAAAATAAAGTCTGCTATCAGAATAGTGTGGTCAACCTCAAAAACAGATGCATGAATACTATGTGGTGTTCATTCAATAGCAGTTTAATGGGGTGTGACTTTAAGCTTGTATACCCCTGCATTGTAGGTGTCTTCCATATTGTGTTTCTTTATAAATACATCTCATTGGAATAGCTGAACGGGATCAATACATTGCATTCTGTGGGTGTGTGACATGTATTTGCAAGAGGTCAATTAATTACAGCTTAACAATAGAAAGACAGATGTAACATTTTAACTGAAAGAGCTGCTGAAAACATTGAAGAATACATGAACATAGTCCAAGCTGAATTTATTATCGTAAATATTACCAATGCCTGCTTTCTTAGTGATGTTATAAGACCTCATGGCCCCACATATTCTCTTTTCTTTTTCTTTCCCAGCTTTCAGCTCTTATTGGTGAGCTTTGCAGTCTGCATGCAGACTGATCCTTGGTGCTGTTGACGTGAGGTTGTAAATGCTGTGTCTGTTTAGTTCTGGTAACAGGGATGCCTTATATCCATATGCCTTTTCACCAAGACTGTCAGTTAAAAATTAAAGTTTAAAAAAATGATCCACTACCCAAGAGGTGTAACTTTGATTCATGATATGGGTTGATCATATCTGCGGCTGTGCAGTTGTTGATCAGTACGCACGCAGCGTGGGAGGTGAGTGGCTTTGAAGGTCAGACCAGGATCAGTGCATTCCAGGAATTGTTGAAAGAAAGCCAGTGAGTTTTTAAGGGTTATAATCAGGTTTCATGTCAAGGCAGACTCTTTGTAGCTTCTATGCTGCTGTTACAGTTTCTTATTCACTGATCATAGCAACAGCATCTAGTACAGTTTGTCCTGATTGCAGGTTGTTCATTTCAACTCTGTGGGTAGTAACCAGGTTGACAGCTGACCACCCACATGACCAGTACTGTACAGTCGCAAGTTTTACTGCTCGGTTGGTTATTGTTGTACTACATGTCCTCTTCAAGGCAAGATACAAGCTCAGACACTGAGTGATATTTTTACACTACATTTGGTTAGTGGGTCAAAATACCCAAGTGGTACTGGGTAAAGTTAACCCAGTACTGCATCTATATTGATCCTACGCTGGGAACATTTTTAACCCAGTGTGTTTTAGTACTTTATAGTTATTGATGTAACAATACAGCCATGGTAGTGGCATTTTATTCAATACAACAAATGTCAGCCTCATAGTGGATTCATCGTCCAGGAGCCATTAATGTCTGTACAAAATGTTATCGCTAATCCAGGTTGTAGATATTGAGATATTTCACTTGATAAATGCTGCAAGTGCAAGAGGAAAAATCACCAAAGTCAGCATCCATCTAATTGTTGAGATATTTCAGTCTAGACCAAAGTGGTGGACTGACCAATAGACCAAAATTACCATCCATAGATAAAATTATACGAAAACAAAGTGATTGTTAGGTAAATTTGAGCTATCACTGCACAGAATGGCACAAAAATGTCTTTTCTTGCATGAAATTCTTGCCTATTGCAGATTTAGATGAACAGGAATCTAAATTACTGATATGTCAGTGGGAATCACATTTCATTCTTACCTGCGTTGTCTTCAACAGAAGGCTCTATCTGAATTTCAGGTACATCCTCTGTTTTCAGAGGATCCGCACAGGCGGTGATGTGCACACTGTCATTCTGGAAAACCTGAATGATTGTGTCGTACTTGTAGCTGTGAAAACCAGCAGAGCCACAATGAGACATTAAACAACATCTTTGGACGTCTTTCTTCATAATTTTTGTTTCAAAAGGTTTTTTTAATTAGTGGTGTTTGTTTATGTTTACCGTCCCATGAAAAAGTGCGTCAGGCCGGTGAGAAAGGCCCCTACAGCCATGAGAAAACAACCCACAGCAATGAGTCTGGGCCGATGCAGCTTGGCCCCAAAATGGCTGACCACAGCAAGAAACAACAAGTTGCCTACCTCCAAAAAAGAGAAACCAAATGAGCAGAAGAAAAAGGTGGCAAAAAGAAAAGTAAGACCTGATCAGATACACTAAAGAATAGGGTTATATCAACAGATAGACAGTACCCATCTCAAAACTGCCATCTATGAGTCCAATATGTGTGCTGGAGAGGTCAAAACGTCTCTCAATCTGAGTGATTGAGCTCTTCATGTAGGTTCCTATCAGAGCCTTGGAGAAACAGGCGAAGGACAGCGCCACAATAAACAACTAGAAAACACAAGGGGAAACATAAGTCATTAAAATGGCAAATAACTCATAGATTGTAGGAGGCAAACAATCACCTAAAATCGTAAAACCTGCAATATCAGATTTTTTTGCCACTTGGGGAAAGCGGAAAAAACAAGTTGTGCACATGTTGACATAATCATCTTTTAATTTGATAGGACAAACAGTTGACTATTTACACATTCAGCAGTTACTGAGCAACATTATCATTCATTTAGAGTCGTGTTTCTGGCCACCTGTTGAATGTGAGTTCAGTAATAACTTCCCTTTTAGCTCTTTTTTTGTGTGTGAAAGTGAAATATCTGGCTCAGTACTTTTTTAGAGCTTTTGCACTGAAAACAGATGCCTGCTGAGAGCGCTGACAGTGAACCAGAACAGTTAAGTTGCAGGCTGTGCAGCTAAACAGTGAGCGGAAAGCTATACAGCTGTGTAATTCTATGTGATTCTCTATGGGATTCTGACTACTGGCAACCACTTTCACATTGTCAATTAATACTTTGTTATTACAAAAACATCAATTACTGCCACTTTAACAATAATCTTCAAACTAAAAACACTAAATAGAAAATGTACATGCTCTGTCTACCAATTTAGCCTCAGTGTTGTCTACTACTTAGCCACATTGTTGGGTAACCTTGTTTCTAGTCCACGTGTCCTGTTTCTCAGCTCTCATATTGTCACATGATGTATCTGATGTGCTGTTTTTCCCTGTTTAAAAAAGAAAACAATAAAAACTAATAACAAAAACGATCTAATAAATGTATGGTACCAGTCTGAAAACCTACTTTGGTCACTGTAAATTTGTGCGGCATTAAATTTCACATACTCTCAAACATACTGACTCTAGATTGAGAACTGACCAAAGCCTGCTGAACAAAGATTTACACATTTTATGCACAGAATCCTCATTCTCCCAAAAAATGACAAGGTTCTGGCTGATTAACATGTCGCTGATCTGATCTCACGTGCGCTCTGTATGCGGTTACATATGCTTTGAGACGGTTTCTCCCTCCTACATTGCAGCTTCCACAGTCTTAGGTTTTACTCTGTGTGTGGGCACCCTGCAGCCTCTTTATTACTAAGTTAATTCCCACCGGGGATTATTGCAACTCTCCTGCATATTTTGTACAGTATTTCATCTATTATGCTATATTGCTACATGAGGCTTTCATTCTCAGCTTAAACTTGATTCAATCTGATAGGTATGAAATTGTATTAAAAACCTTAATTAGAAAACATAACACAGTGCTGTCTAATAAGCACCCTGACAGTTGATGACACATAGTAAGTATAATTTAATGTTCTCCACTTCCTCGTCTGATTTGTTTGAATGGTCGAGTAATGGGTTTATACTTTTGAGATACTGAACTCAACAATGTGAAGCAGAAAACCACAAACACAGAGCAGCCAGATACTGATCTGGTTTCGTATGTTAGATTTTATTTTTATGGTTTATTTGGGGGTGAATCTGACATTTTGCCTTACAACCCAATATCTACAGACTGAGTTAAGGCCCATGAGGAAAACGGAGGAAATAGTTGTAAAGATGTGTTCTGGGAGAAATACTCCATTAACTTTGCACATGCTAATGTAGTGCTGCAATCAGGCAGCACTGAGCTCAGGGCCGACAAGTGTCTGAGTTGGTAAGCTGATCTAGAGTAGAAATATAGCTTGCCAAGATTTTGGAAAACAACATAAATCAGCTCTTGACTTGATTCTACCTACTTTGCAGGAAGCATACCTCCCAAACCAAAACCGATGTGTGTCTCACTTTTTAAGCATTTATCCATCCATTCTCTATACATGCTTATCGAAGTTTGAACCTTTGCTGTCAGGGGACAGTGCCAACAACAGCACTAACGCTGCCTTTTACGCTTTTAACTGATGTTTTTATCTGGAGCAATTTACTCTGAGTGCATCAACAGAATGGACTTCAGTCCATGAGGAAAAACAGAAGTACAGGCAACCAGCAGAGAAGTGCTGATTACAGATAACTTTAGTACTTTGAGAGTGGAGATGCCAGGGCGTTTTCTGGTATTCTGGTCAGGGTCACACAGAGCCTGCTGGCTGGTCATCTTGTCTCTGTCCTCTGTTGCCTCTTCCATCCTACACTCAACGTTTGTCTGCCGGTCTGTTTACCTGCCCTCAAGACACTGCAAGAAAAACAGATATACAGAACATAGATAGACAATAAAAGAAGGAAAAATTTTTATGTCTTTAATGCTCAGCTTTCATTACCTCCACTAGTAAAATGTTTAATTTAAAGGTCCAGTGTGTAACATTTAGGAGTATATATTTGTATATTTTATTAATGTCTAATCAAATGAAAATAGGAATCATTGTGTTCTTGTTACCTTACAATGAGCGTTTTTTATCTACAGAGGGAACGGGTCCACTTCCATTGAGGCCGCAATGTTCAACCACCATGTTTCTACAGTAGCCGAGAACATTCAAACCAAACATTGGCTGTAGATACGGCCCTTTTCCCGTCACATTTTTTCCTACACACTTGGAATGTGAGAGTGAAGTGAAGGGGGTTGTAATCTACAACTATACCGCTAGATGTCACTAACTGGTCCATTAAAGGAATAGTTCCATTTTGTTTCGAAAAAAAGAGAGTTAGAGGAGAAGATCAATATATATTGACTGTACTATGAATTGGTAGCTGGAACCAGCAGCTGGTTATCCTAGCTTTACATCAAGACTGGAAACAGGCCTCACTCTGAAGGTAACAAAATCGGCCTACCAGCATCTTGAAAGCTCACTTATTAACATGTTATACCTCATTGTCACCTGTCATTTTATTTTCTTACTTTTTGCTAAGCTAAGCTAACCAGCCCTTAACTGTAGCTATATATTTGCTCATGTAAGTCTTGGCAAGAATAAGCATATATCCCAAAATCTTGATGCTTAATTCCTTTAAACCTGGTTGACCCACTTATTCATATGACTGATATAAACATTTTGTGGATACATATATATATATATATGTATAGTAGGCCTATCATTTTAAATGGTATCCAACAAAAGTTGATTTTCTTAAAAAATATAAAATAAAACAAAAAATGGCAGTTGTTTACAAAATGATCATCTTCACAAAGACATCATAGTTTACCAAGATTTTCATTCATCACTGCATCAGTAATCTACTGCATAATAATGTAACCATTTCAAAGACTCTAGACTTTCAGTAATTAGCTGTGAGCATGCAAAGTTGTCAGTATCAGCTTGTTTGGAGTTTTGTGGTATTTCAAAGTGCAAAGCCATTCCTGACGGTTTAGCCTCATGTCTGGATTTGTAAAGTGAGTGAAAACAGAGAAGCTGTAATGGTACCTGTGTAAACTCCACCAGCGGCTTCTTCTCGCAAATCCTCTCAGCTCAGGAAACGTCAGGAGCTGCAGGTTGAATCCATATCGGAGAGGAAAATGGAAAATTTGAGAGGGGGAAAACCCGACATAAAGTAACACTATTAATCAGTATGTTTACACCACATAATTCCCATAATCCTTCAGCTCGGTTAATACTCCACCCAAATGTGCAGCTCGCCTTTCAAGTGATTCCTTCTTGGCCAGCAAGCCCTCATCTCAGAGGTATTTCTGGAGTAACAGAGAGCAAAATCACACCAGCAAAGCAACTACTGAGGAAGTTAATGAAAATACCTAGTGCATCTCCAGGCCGAGGGGACTGGGGTCTCCCCTCTCTTCTTCTGCTCCTCTTTAAGTAGCCATGTGTCTCTCCCCAAGCTCCTATTCTCCTGTCTGAGGGCAGAGCGGTTACTTGGAACCAGAGGGACAAAGGGCCTCGCACATTTTTATTCCACACACATGCCAGCCAGTCCAGGAGGGGGACAGCAACAAGAGAACAGGAGGGAGGTGGAGGGGAGACAGATTAGTAACTCCAAACCAGGCTTGTTGGATTTTTTTGCTCACAAGGTAAAATATCAGATGCAAATGAAAGTCTAAATTGCCTTTCATAAATCTCACAGCACTCACAAAAAATACATATTACACCAGGGCACTAAAAGCAACTAAACCCATTCTTTACATTTGCTTTGATGAAAACCTCAAAAGAGTGCGTCTCATTGTTAAGAGTGTGTCTTGGTGTAAACATGTGTCAGGGAATGCTCTATTACTCCACTGACCGGTGGGGGGTTCATGCCGCTAAGCAGCAGGTCATACAATCAGCTTTGGTCCCTCACAAATTCCAAGGATTAAGATTAAGAGCATTCACATTCCTGCACAGCAACAGTGAAGGAACTGCTTACCATTTCCCCCTTTTCTAAAAATGTACACTGGCTCTTGGATTTTGCATTTGGCGCTAGTGCTTTACATGTCTTTTGTCGCTGTATCTAGTTACAGGGAATTTAGATAGGAATGTAGTTTGTTACTGCATCAGGGCGCCTTCACCTGTACCTGCTGCAAGTTAGTACCTCGATTTAAAGACATTTCATCATATTAAATAAAAATTTAATTCTGCATTACACATTTGTTAGGTCTCACTGGCTTTGTTTTGTACAATTAGAAGCAGTGAGACATCCTCAGTGGCTTTGCAGTACCTTACAGTAGATATGTTGTTGTATAGAGTACAGCCTGCTGGTGAAACAAGATACTGCACACACAACAAAGTAAACACAGAGGAGCCAAAGTTTGATAGACCAGGTTATGTAATGACAGCCTTCAACTTTAAGCAAGCCACGCTGATGTATCGATGCACATGTGCAATGAGAAATATGAGGTAGTTCTGTAGATTTACTAGTGAAGCAATGATGGGTAAATGTAGCTGTCGTCAACACTGGCTGAACGGTCTGTGGGGAGTTTTGGGGAGGCTGCACACTAGTAGGGTGAAAATATAGTAATATAGTGTGAGTAATATATTTAAACCCACCACTTCAGACACAATAAAAATTAAATCCCTGATTCACAACACACAAAAACAAATCATATGAACCACATCAAACCAGACTAGGTTATGAGGGAACATAGCAAGGCTCTGCAGCACATGTCTGTCTATGTCCTGTCAGTTTATTTATGTATTTATTGGAATGCTCTAATATCTTAACATAAACCATAACCAAAATAAATAGCAAGACACAAGGTAAGGTAAGTTAGTGTGAACTGGGTGTTAGCTGTGTGAGTGTGAGGACGTAGGAAGATATACGACAGATACATTTAGCCTGTTGATTCACAGATTTGGTTTGGGCATGTTCTGTTGGTTTTAAGCTTAATCCAGCTGCTGGATCTGCTTTGGAGTCAACCTTAAACGTGCATAACACATTTAAACATAACAACTGTGAACATAGTGTGACATATTGTCCCCTTTTAAGTTAATTTGGCAAACTTGTTAGCAAACAGTTGCCCATTACACATTCAGCAGATACAGCAAAACATAAATTTTCAGTCATTTTTCTGACTACCCGATAAATGTAATTTTAATATTTATTTCTTTTAGCTCGGTTTTTGGTGTCAACTTATTTCTGAGGGTAATGTTTGCCTCTGTACCCAAAATAATGAGCTGAAAGAGGCTACAAAGTACAGTTGACTCTGTGATAATTTTCTTTCTAATTCATCACTACAAGAGACACCTTTGACAAGTAGTCCTGTGATCTTTTGTTAATTTTAAAATACTGATTATAGCTGCTTTAGGATGACCATAACATGTTTATAGCAGGACACACAGAGCATATGGAAAAGGTACAACTTGTCACTTGTAAATTGAGGGACAAAAAATAAGTGTCTTTAATACTTACAGATGTGCTTTAAGGACAATCAACAAAATTGTAAAAAGAGATGATATAACTCAAATATATGGACACAATATAAACATATTCGACTCAATATATAAATTCTCATTATTAACAGCAATTATAGATATTAACTGATGATATATTTTAATTAACAACTACAGTGTATAACCGAGTAAAACATAGTACAATCAAGTTTGAGTTGAGTCCACTCACTCTTAGTCCACTGTCCAAATTGTAGTAAACTTTTCCAGACAAACACTGGTGAGTCAGAGGATTATATGAACGTTCATGACCTTTAAGGTTTGTGTAAATGATGTGATATAACAAGAAGTGTGTGTAATGTCAGACAGGAGAGATATCCAGATGTCAAATGGTGCTGTGGTGCATTGTTAACAGTCAGAAAAAGGTTATCAGGCTTCCATGTAATCTGTTAAATGCAGTGATGAATGAAAATGTTTTTTTAGAATGAAAAAAAAGCTTACTGTCTATTGGCCTGCACCAGCTTCCCTTTTTGCATTTGCAAGAATATAGTGCTCGGAGAACCAGACACACTGCCAAGTATTTTTGGTTTGCCCAATCTTTTGTTAACTACTATTATCCTGCTGCTTTCAAAACACATTGATACTGAATCTGTCAAACCTTACACTGAAAGAGGCAAAGCACTTTACTTCTTCTGCTCTGGACTCTTACACTAGGTACCATCTGTCTTGTAATTTGGTAAAACAGAAGTCAAATCTATAGCCATCCTAGTTATACCAGCTATAAAACTACAATATTTACTTTCTAATTATACTCTCAGGAATGCTAACCTGATGTCCTCCATGTGTATTTAAATTGGCTCATTTAGTAGGCAACCCTAGGCTCTACACTTATGCTGTAAACCTTAGCCACCCTCACTGTCCTCATTACACCACTGTTCAATGAAGACAATGAGGTAGGCTGTACAATCTCACAAACTCTCACCATCACTAAAAAAACATGAAAGAAAACAATAACTAAAAAAAAACATGAACAATACTTCAAGTTACAAAGACATGCTATAGCTCATTAGGCCACAAACAATCTACTTGTCCTATACTAGTATTTAAAACTATACACTGTACATATATTGTATACATGTTTGCCAAACTGTTACTGCACCTAAATGACTTTGAATGTAAAGCTGTAGGATGAGACATTACTATCTGTCTATTACCTGACCTAATGCTATTCAAGTATACTAAATGGTGATCATACTGAAATGTTGCATAAGTGAACTGTGTGTTTGCTCGGGATGCATTGTCCACACTGTAGCACAGACTATGTTCCCATTAAGTTTTCTTGACTGCTCTGAAGCAGTACTAGAAATGACCTTTAAGTTTATGTGTTTGAGGGTTTTTGTTCAGACATGGATTGTGTATTATTTAATTTGATTGTTGTTGATATTAAAACTAAGGTCTAGTCAGGATCTTTGAACTTTGACATGAACAGCAGTTGATGTTTTCAGCACAATATCGGTGTAAAAAAGAAGCGTACTGCTCGAAGAGCAAAGAGCACTGACACTGTACCATTACCACATTTGGTCCAGTATGGATGCACCCCAACTTAGGCAATGGAAAATCTGTGTCGTCCACCTGTATTATACAATGGGGTTGCCTTCCTCAAACACCTTAGATAGTGCTTTCCTTGTCCGTGTCATCTTTATTTTTGGCTATGTTGATGTTGGCGTGTCCATTTCCCACGTCGTTACCCTCCAGTGCATTTTCTTTGGCCTGATTCCTCAGTGCTAACTTCTTCTGTCTCTTGACAATTTTGACGTAGAGGCCTGCCCATAGCGTATTGGATAGGAAGTAGAGTCCAGTAACTAACCCCATGAATGTCATTCTGTAAGTAAAGTATATTGGAACAGGTTAAGTTTAGTTTTTTACTCCATTTAAGTACTTTCATTTGAAATTTTTAGTCTGAGGTCAGAACAAAAGAAAAACTTTTTATGTATTGTGTGAAAAGTGTAGAATTCTAATAGAAATCCAATGGATACATTTATGTTTTAAAGAATCTGTCTTTAATTAAATGAACCAGATATAAGGTTAACCTATGAGCTTTAGAGGTGCTGTTTTACCTTCAGACAGAACCAGACTAGCTCTGTCAGTTTCCAGGCTAAATGCTAAGCTAAGCTAGCATAGTGAGAGTAAGCATATTTCCCAAAATACTGAAATATTGTTTAAAACTGCACAACAACAAATTTCGATGTAATTTAAACTGTACATAGCAATGTCAAAATATTGAGGTACTTATATACTTAAATATATATCTTTTGAACAATTTAAACACATCTTCCTAAGGAATTTAACACGTAGGATATTTTGGAAAGAAAATAAGTGTCTGGTTTTGCTGTACCTAAATGCATTAGCGTCATAGAGTCTACACGCTCCACGGCCCCCACACTGCTTTGTACCCCACTTCAAACAGGTTCGATCAATCAGTGCTCCAAAATATATTGGAGGGGGTATCCCACCTGAAAACACACAAAGTCACATGTAATTACAATTAAACAGAGCCAAACTGTAATTTCATTAATCGTTGTTATCAATATAAGCATGGTCACGTGAGCTAAATAATAACATTAACAGTAAACAAAACAATAACAAAATAATTGTCATTGCCATGTTTGCAACATGATTAATTTATTAAAGCTACATGTATTTTCAGTACTCACCCAGAGTTCTTACTATCAGTGTTTGCATACCCAGAGCCAGTGACTTCAGGTCTTGCTGTATGGACCTGGAAGATTAGCCCACACATTATCACATCAGCATTTTCGCTTAAAGAATAAACAAGATGCAATATTGCCTACAATAGTGTCACAGAAGCAGTTCGTCCCCATTCTGGAGCTGACATGTAATGCCATTAAATCACTACATATACAAAAATCAATAAGACACCGCAAGGCATCATTATACACGGTCATAAAAGCTTTAATGGACCTGAGCAGCACGATGTATCCTGGCGTTCCCCCACAGGCAGAAATGAAGGATCCCACTACCGACAAAGCCATGTAGAATTTGAATATGCGATCACAGTCGCTCTTCCTGGGGCACTGGCCAAGCACTGCGGACGAGTTTATGCCAGGAGTCATCATCTCGCCAACGCAGGTACAGTTATGAAACACCTAAAGAACCAGAAGACAGAGATGTAAGTGGCTTTTTGATGCTTTGAGAATAGTTTGGTTTCTATAATTAAAGAACTAATCCAATTACATTTGTCTGATATAGTTTCAAGATCACATTTATGCTTCCATAGGGACTAACACTTTTGATTTTAATCACTCCATGGCCTTTAATCTCACGCCACCCTCCAGAAAATATACTGTTGAAGCTATAAGATGAGCCAAATGTCCAGTATTGCCAACTATAGCTCTGCAGGCAATGTGAACTCCTGTCTTCAACATTGGACAATTATCCACACAAAAACAAACTTAGAAATAATTTTTTTTCTGAATTTATGTTTAATTTTCAGCAGGACGTTCATACGTAAGAAGAGCTGCTGTTTACATATGTTTTGCTGTGTAAGAAATATAAGTCCGTGTCTTACCATTTCCCTGCCGGTGCCGGTGGAGGTCTGGCAGCCAGCCAGGCAGGGAGAGGCATACGTTATTCCGTTGTAGGCGCACACTGGGTCCCAATGCTTCATTGAGCAGGAGCAGCCCATATTGCATTCTGACAGCAAAGCCTGCGGGTTGTAGGACACTTGAGGAGCCCTAGTACAGGAATGAAGAGTGTAGGGGACATTGGTTCAGGAAGGCATACTTTATTTTACATGGATATCATTCTTAGCTCTTAATGGGGTCAAAAACATTTCAGTTGCAAACTGGGCTTTAGAAATAGGTTTCTCGTGTTTTCTAGTTTTTAAGAGGTTTTAACCCGAACGAGAACTTTACAATGCACCATGACTTCACTAACTTCTATTTTAATGTAAAAGGGTAGTTTGCATGCCACTCACCCCTGATATGAGACACTAATACCTCCCACCTCTGCATTGTCACAGTGGATGAAGCCCTGAACGGCAAGCAGACAAAATGACCCGAAAGAGGCAGTGATTGACACCCTGGCTGCTCCGATGACGCCCAGTTTGAAACGTTTCAGTACAAAACCTCCAGTGATGATGCCCAAAGCCACTGCTGGCAGGTTCAGTATACCTGGATGAAGGAATAAACGGATGAATAAATGGGTGGCTAGAAAGGATCAATACACTAGAAATACTACACGGTGAACATTTCCCACTGATCTGCCATAAACACTGTGTAAAGTAACACAAAGGAATGGAAACTGTTGAACAAATAAAGGGAATAAGGGAATTGTGAGACAATGAAGGTACATTATTATGTACCGTGTTGTTCATCTAATGTTCATCAGATGTACCCCCACAGCCCTGTCAGAGGAACTCAAGTACCCCTTCATCACCCCCACCTGGCCAAGCCAATAATTTATTACTTGTAGCTGATTTACAATCATATATTTGTTACCTTTGCTAAATATTTTAACCATTTAGCCATTCCTTTTAACTATCCGTTTCAATCATGTATTCATTAATTTATTTGCCTCCACAATCTTTCTCCCATTGGGAAGTAAATTATTGTTTGCAGGCTCATTCTATGAACTTCTATCACTTCCTCAATGGTGCTTTCATGTGCCGGTAAGAGACTCTGTGTCTGAGATATCCAATCAAACAGTTCACATTAGAGAACTGTGTTGTGAGAAAGTCAACTCCATCTAAGACATAATAAGCTCCTTGCATTATAAATGGTTCTGTTCTGCAGCCAGTTGTTGTTGTTGTGCTAATGTTACGTGTCATAACATAACATAACACACATAACAATGACTTTAAAATATCTATATTCCAACAATAACACAGGTAGCCATGCTGGAACAGTCATAAAAAGCTAATCATAGCTCACGGTGCTATGTTACAGGCACACACAAAAGGAGAGTCCACAGTGGGCTTCTTAGTGCTTACATTTTAACTCAATTTTATCTCTCGCAATCACACTTCCCTTCAAAAACATCATTGTTTCAGTTGCCTTGGGCTACAGGGTGCAGTAAATCCAAAATGAATGGGGGTCACTTATTGCTCTGTACCTATGAGGAAAATGGCCTTGGAGGCTGATTGGCCATATATTTGCTCCAAGTACTTTGGCTTGAAGGTGATCATGCCAATGAAGCCGTTGACAGCCACCAGGTAGGTGAGGATCATCAGTGTGAAGATGCTGTTCCTGAAGAGTCTCCTCAGGGATGGAACAAAATCTGGCGATGAAGAAAGCACAAAGAGATACAAAATAGTTTAGTAGTAGTAACACTAAGATACACAATGGCTTCCTTTTCATTGCTGGGGTGAATGTAAAAGTGTAAATCTAACTTAGTATCCTTAAAGAACCAGTTTAGGAAGATCGCAACTAACCGTTGTACTTTCTCCTACACATGGTATTCAGATGTGTGTAGGAGAAACTACTGTGGCTGCAAAACAGCAAAAGGCCCTATCTAGAGCCAGTGTTTTATTTGTACATTCTGGGCTACTGTAGAAACATGCCTGTTTAACATGGCGGACTCTGTGGAAGAGGACCCGCTCCCTCTGTAGATACAAATTCTAAGGTTACAAAAACACAATGATCCTTTTAGGTGATAATACACTAATGAAAATATACTTTTGGACATTATATTAGATATAGATACTCCTAGATTTTACACACTGGACAACAAAATATCATTTGTTTTATGAATGAAATATCTGAAATATTTTTTGAAATATCTGATATATATTGTTAAAAAACTTGTGTTGTATTTCATAAATTCTATTTATACCATTATCTATACACATTCACAATGCAATTGTTTGTACACATATTTAGCAAGGCATGCTTATGTGTATTTATAGTTACCTCTATTACCTAAACTAACATTCGTTTTCAAATTTAATTGCTGCACTGGCACTGCTGCTTATCAACTACCTGTTAAACAACATCTATTTAACATAATCAAAACAGCCTTAATATGAAAAACTTTATATTGCTCATTTGCTTTTGTATTGGGTCTAATTTTTATTGTCAGTTATTTAAGACTCTTGTTATATACTGCCAATATTTTACTTCTCTTTTCAAGCTTTTTGGAGATATAACTTTCACATAATAATTTACAAACACAAACATTTTGGAGACACTGTTTTTAGTCTGATATAATGTTGCGTAATGTATTATGGCATGACTGGGCTTTAGCTGAAGTAGCTGTTTGCATGCGTTTCTGTGTTCCGATGTGTCATTCAACTCTTGCCCAGATTGCATGGTGGTTAGTTAGTGCTGGTCCAGGAGTCAGGGTTACTGAATCTGCCCAGGTTTGTCTGGGCCATACCTGGTTAATGATTAAACACATTAACCCTAAAGAAGGATTTGCACATTGGCACATTTCTAAGAGTTTAAGATCTTAGAAGTAGTTTATGGCATGCATAGTTCTGCTTCTCATAGATAAAGACTTTTTGAAGAGACATTCTTTGAGCTTTATGATAGTCTAGGTAGTTAATTGTTCTAAATTGGGTGTAATTGTTAAGTATTTTTTTGCATTTTATGTGATGACCTGTCCCTAAATGCAAAGTTTTGTATGTCAACACCAATGGGAAAACAAATCCCATTGCCTTAAAGCGTTTTGCACTGATGCAAAAACCTTGGATGTTACCTTTAGCTAGCTCCTGGAATGTAACCGGCTTCTCCTTCTCCTCATCCTGGTTTTCCTCTTGCAGGAAATTCTCCTGCTCTGCCACTGTGGCGAGCTCTGTGCTTTTACTCTGGCTTTCCTCTTGCCCTTGCTTGGGCAGGGACTTGGGCAGGAACCAGAACGGGATACTGGACAGCAGGATCACAGTGCCAGTCACTATGAAGCCCAGCCACCAGGCCCCCACCCAGCGGGAGTCCTTATGATTGATAGTGATTGTTTCTAGAGAGAGGAAGACGAGCAAAGACAACAGACTATGAAGGGGATTGTGTTGACAGGACACGAATCCATGCAGTAAATAGTCAACTAGTTCTATTGTGACAACAGGATGAAACGTCGGTTAAGACAGCTCAGTAACAGCTATATTTCTATCTCATTTGTCATTGAGTGAGACAAGAGGACATACCACAAATACAGTCTCCATGTTATGCTACATTAACACATACAAAGACAACATGTACGTTTTTTTCCCTGATATAGAGAAGAACCATACCTAAATCCACAGATCCAATGTCTACATAGATCTTGGCAAGAAGGGACCCGAGCATGAACCCGAACATAGGTCCTAAGATTCCAACTGTATGGATGCAGGCTGGCAAAAGAGAAAAAAACAGAGAAAGAAAGTTACGTACTTGGGTTAATATTTGATTAATGTTACAGTACCAGTTTATACAGGACAGGTACACAGAAAAGCAGAAAACACCAATAAAGGGATACTGAGTTTAAAAAAGTAGCTAACCCAAATAGAAAGGAGTGTTCTCTTCTCTGGAGAAGTCATCCAGGTAGGACACACCCAGAGGCATGATGGGAGTCTCTCCAATTCCACGCAGCATGTTTCCCAGGAATACGTAGATCCACATAGACGAGCCAGCTGCCTTTTCACAAGCTGAGGAAGGCAAAACTGGACTCAGACTGGAAAGAAAAACTGTCTCTAGAGCATTTCTCATCTTCTACATATATGAATGCATTCTTTGGCATCATATCGAAACAGAAAAGGGACTGAAAGCTTAAACCTGAGAGATCTTACATCTAATGCAGTGAGTGTGTGTGCCATGTACCTGATCTGGCCTCTAAATCAGGAGTCTCATCTGCATCAGTCAGGCTGTGGTTTGAGTGACAGGGCAGGGCGCTCTCACTGCTGTTGAAAGCTGTACTGTGAGACACACTGGTCTCATATTTATACCTGGAAAATATTGAAAATTATTATTAAACAAGAAAATGACACATCTGTGGCTTGAACAGATTTTTAGAGAATTACAGAGCAAGTGAATAAACTACATGTGGCAGTTATGGATTGTAGATAATGTAATTATGTAACATCAATGTGATATCTTAAGCGTTACTCTTAGAAGGTTTTAGGAGACATCAGACAGACAACAGGGCAGATGGACCTTCATTGTGACAACCAGCAACACTAATGTCACTAAAATGCAAACGTGCCATTAAATATACTGTATCTGTCTTTACATTTTATATTTTTTATATCTCCTTTAACAACAACTTTCAAAATTGCAGTGAGATGCACATTCCAGGCTGAATTATCAGACGGGCAAAGTAGGCAGGTAACTGCCTCTGGGCCCCAGAAACCCAGGCAGTTGTTTTTTGGAATTTAATTAAGTGTAAGTTAGTTAAGGAATTTGCCCCCACTAAAGCACAAGATCAACTAAGATAGGTCATGCATTATTTCTTAATCTTCTGACCCTGTGGGACCTTGTGTCAAAATTAATTTTTAACATTTATATTTGAACTTACATTGAACCACATGTTGTACTGGATATGTTCACTATACTTGAAGGCAACAGTATACATACACATGTTAAGTAGGGACCTCAATATAGGTACAGCAGCAATTTTTTTACCATGGTGCCCCAAACAAGTTAATCCCAACATACATTAGAATAAGTGAAATTAGCTGTAATTTCATGGTATTATATATATTTCATGTAGCATGAAGAGGCTTGTGGTTGTGGTTCAGTTAAATGTTAAGAGTTTCTCTGCATCCTAAAACCATATAATTTGATTCTAATTAATGATGTGTATCATTACTGCAGGGTATACCTTAACAAGCCCACTGTATTACATACAAAATTAGAATATTAAGAAGATAAAGGAAACTGTGTACTAACGGTCCCTGGAAGAAGTGAGGCAGGGCTATGAGGAAACATCCAACAGACATGATCAAACAGCCAATACCAATCAGCCTGGGACGATGGAGCTTAGCACCAAAGTAGCTCACAAAGGCTATTACCAAGAGGTTGCCTGGGAAGGAAAAGGATTAAAAAATAACTTGATGAATGAATTATTGGCTTAAAGGAATAGTTTGATATTGTGGAAAATACACATATTAAAGTTAGATGATTAGATAGATACCACTCTCATATCTGTATGCTAAATACTAGAGTCAGACAATTAGTATAGCTTAGCATAAAGACTGGAAACAGGAGGAAACAGCTAGCCTGCCTCCGTTCAAAGGGAACAGAGTCTCTACTTACAGCTGGATTATTTAATCCACTTCCTGGCTAACAAGCACCTTAACAATTTATTAATTAACATGTAAAATCTCATTGTTTTACCTATATAAAAACTAAAGTGTAAAAACTTCCCAAGCAAGGAAGGAAGTTCCTGCACCAGGTCAAGAAACAGTCCCACACCAAAACCACAATTACATTTTTTCACGTTGGTCTTTGTGTATTATTAAACAAACAAGATGTTACGTATTAATCAACAACTTTTAGGAGGATTTGTTCATCTGTGGACCAACAGGCTAGCTGTTTCTGCTTCCAGTCTTTGTGCTAAGCTAAGCGTCCTCTGACTGTAGCTTTATATTTAGTGTACAGATATGAGAATGATAAAAAATAATAATAATGCACGTACCCATTTCAAAGCTGCCATCTATAACCCCAATGAGGGAGCTGGGGATATCAAAGCGCCTCTCAATCTGGGTGATGGAGCTCTTCATGTAGGCTCCACCAAAAGCTTTGGCAAAGTATACGAATGCCAGAGAGGCCAGGAAGAGCTGGACACACAGAAAACACATGCATAAGTGTTTAGTTGAAGTTCTAATGTAAAATAAAAGCAGTTAGCGGACAGTTGATCTGATTTCTTTAGGTTTACTGAAAAGGGCTTCACCTCAGACAGAATACCTTTAAATGGTAAATACAAGCCCGTTGTAAGATGATTACATTGGAAACGATCACTCCACAAAGACTTCTGAGTGAGAGGATTAATGTACTTCTTTGCAGTTCCAGTAATGCAATGAAAGGCTTTTGAATGAGGCTTATTCCACTACAAAGGATAAAGGGATGTAATTGCACCTTGCACAGATGTTAAGAGAAAGGGTGAACAACCTTATTATCACATACTCCCGTGATAGCTTAGGCTCAAACACACGACACCTAACACACATTTAAAGACATAACAGTAGTTAACGCCTGCTTTCAACACTGATTGGATTTATACTCATTTTCATTCAATGAATGTAAATCTAATCTAATGTAAAGAAGTAATTGCACCACATTTTGTCAAGTGTAGAAGACAGTGTTTTGGTTCTAGAGATTAAATGAAACAATATGGAGTGAAACTTTCGACTTAAATCTGTAAATCAAGTTTTTTTAACAAGTTTGTTTGCTTTACCAGTACAAACCTACTTTGTGTGCAGCCAAATCCACGGCACAAAGATAGTTAAAGATTAAAAGGGAATCACACTGGGCTGTAGGTCATTGACTATTCTGTGAATACGTTCAGACAACTGCAACTACTTGCACAACAGTTAAAGCCCCACAGCTAAACAAAATGTAAGTTCCTCCAGAATTCAACATGTTTTTACTTTTTAACAAGTGGAGTGACTCGCACTTTATATTAAGGGGTTGTGGTGATTTTTTGCAAGAAATCAATATCATAAACTAGCATTAATTGCTACGCAAAGCTGATATATGATCAGTCTGTTATCTTATCAGAAAGCATGTCATAATCTGTGTCGCTGTATTGACAAAGTAAACTAATGAAATGCACATAGGTCACTGCAACCATACCACTGCTTTTCTTCCATAAAAGCACTTCAAGGGCCAATTAACTGACTATCGGCCTTATCTGTGTGCACCTTAAACACTTTTTAACATGGCTTTGCACTCATAAACAGCTCTGTCCCCATTCCATGAGCAAGAAAAGACACAGTTTCCATGGATTCAAAGTCTGATTCGGTGTCAAAGTCTCAAAGTTGTATCTGGCCAAGAGAAAAATTTGACTTTTTTGTTAATGCTTTGCCTTTTACTGCCTCATCAGGTGCTGCATTTATCGGACACAGATAATACTGACCTAGAAATGCCATACCAAGACAAATACGTCGATTTTTACGATAAGAACTTTGCACAGGTTTGTCCCGATTTGAGTTCACAACCGAGGATTTAAATTATTATAAGACCATACATGAAGCAGTGGACAGTGGAATAGAGGGATGGGTAACATTTCACTGACCTTGAGCTTGGAGCAGCAAGCCTCACGTGGTTTTTTGGACTCTACACTCATGATGCTGCTGCGTGTTGAACAGATGCAAGGAAGCAGAAAACACACCACCAAAGGACCTGCAGAAATACAAATAGAATACAAGATTACATCAGAGTTTGAGTTTGGGGTAAATTGTGTTAATTTCATCTGATTTATAACCTTCTTTTCCTTTAAAATATCCCAAAATGTAAAATTTTTCATCTTACTAATTTCCTCTATTTCTCATTAAAAAAGGTAAGTGGCTAGATAAAGAGATAATTTGTAATCAGCGTTTGTAGCAGTGTAATTAGATATTGACTGAAAATAAGTATAATAAGAAAAAATATAAAATAAAAAAAATAAGAAAAGCCCGTCTAGTATATACTTTTTGGAGAAGATTTGTTACCAAATTCACTTTGTTAGTCAGATTTCTGATCACAATACAGATATACCAGTAATTTACACTAAAACTACGAGTAAATAGTTAAATATTTCCTCAGTGCATCTTAGAGAACTTTATGCAGAATTAATAGTATAGTGAAAAAGCAGAAAAAGTATTTACCTGAGAGGCAGCAGTGGTCCTACAAGGGATGGGAAAGATGTGGCAAAGCAGATGAAGGCTCGCTTAACCTGGCAGGACTTTGTGCTCAAAGCATGAGTCTTATCACAAACAAACTATAACATCACCTGTAATCAGTAACCCAGCCACTCATGTGCACTTGTTGATCATGTCAATAAAAAGCCCTCCAACCCTCAGGCACACACACACACACACACACACACACATGCACACACACAAACCCAAACGTGACCGCTCTGGTTAAGGTCCAGTAGGATGCATGTCCGACCAGCACCGGAAGGTCCAGAGGTTCACTGAATGCAAACACACACAGACATCCACAGTCTGCGCACACTCACACATCCTCCTCTGTGAACATCATAAGCCTCCCAAGTATCCATCCTTTTGAACGCACAACAAACAGCAGCAGCGTGAAGCTGGCCAAAGCTTATTTTACAAGCCGGCTGTTTCTGTTAGTTTGCTGTTTTCAAAGAATGAAATGCTTTCCTCTTCTGCAGAAATTCAGCTTTTGTAAGGCTGGGTGTTTCCTAAGCCTGATCAAAGTCTTCCTGTCCTATTGATAGCCCCTAACAATGGCTTTCTCTCTGTGTCCCTATGGCTGAGTATCGCACATCACATCACCTGACGAGACCTGTTAGACATTATAAATAAAGATTTTCAATAAAATTGTTCTGACATATTTAAAATTCTGCTCCTGAACAACATGGGACGTTTGGTCAGCTGTCTTTCATATTTTCATTTTAGCAAATTTAGTTAAATCTTAAAGGGCCAGTTAACCTAAACTACATATTCCTTGCTTATATCTATTGGTAATAGCCACACAGATGGCTGAATTAAAAAAAAAAATCTACAGCAACAGAGTGTCCCTGTTACTGTAGATAAGCAGTTTCAGAGAAAACTGTTGACAGTGAAGCTTTTGGATCATTTAGATGATAATGCTAATGTGGATTCTGGAAAGAGATATTGCTTTGGTCAGTTTTAAATGCATTTTAATTTCATTTTTAATCATTCAATGCCATTAGCACCATAAGCACATTTCCTTACTTACCTACATTTATTTTATTGGAGAATGGTATCTCAAACCCTGGGCAAATTAAAATTCCTGCATGCCTCGATAACACTATTCAAAGGCTATGCTTTTACTAATTTGCCTGAAATAACCCTTCAACCTCTAGAAGACATGCTATTGGCATGGAAATGGGATTGGACAAAGCCAGAGCAAAGTAGATTTGAGTTGGGCTTAATACAGCATGGAAAGAAGATACCACAAACTTTGATGATTAGTAAATGATTCAGTTTATTTGTCTGGTAATTGATTTTAATAAAGAACAAATAAGAGGAATTGCAGTTCTTCGATTGGTATTTTTCACATTCCACCCTCTTTGTTTTAAACACTGTAGAGCTCTCATATTTTACATACTTTTTATATAATCTCTCATATTTTTTATTATCAATTAACCATTTAATTAAACCATTTTATTTGAATAAACCTGATTCTGATTAATAATCCATTACATTTCAATAGATGTTAAATTTTGATTTGAAAGTCGAATGGATACAAAATGATAGATTTTTGGCATCGGTCAGTGTGAGTACTTTTCAGCGTAGTATGCCACAGGATCTGCACTCGCAGCCGGTGATATGCTTGTAGACGTAGTGTCTGGTGGTGAGGTCGAAGCATAGTAGGGTCACTGATCTCCTCTCTGAGCTCCGCTCCTGACAGTGTCGGCACTTCTGCTCCACCTGCAGGTCACCGCGTAACACGACCCTGTTGCAGTGAAGCGAGGCACAGAGGGGAGACAGGGAATGGGTGGAGGAGGGACAGAAGGAGGAGGGAAGAGAAGGATTGAGACAGAGGAAAAATAAACACAGCTTTTGTTGAGTGTGCTGTAAGAAAGAATAAAAACTGCAAAATGTGTTAAATGACCATTTTAACTATTAGCTATCAATCAGGGACAGGTATATTTCTTCTCACCTGGGCTCAGAAACACATTGGCCCTGACACAGAGGGATCTCCATGGCGGCAGTACAGTTGTCTATGGTAATGTTGATACTGGTCACCTTCGGAGCACAGGTCCGGTTACCTGGAGCCAGAGAAAATTAACACGAAAGGCGGCGTGATGAGTGTGAGCTTTGAATGCAGGAGAGTTCCAAATTGTTTTGCTTTTAATGCTTAAATAGTTCAAACTGTTCTATAAACTAAAAAGAAATTCAATGTGAAAAAGTGAGCAGTTGTAGATGACTTCAATACATTATTGATTTTATCTTAACTTACATGTAAAGCAGCAGTGTTGGTCATCCCAAATTCTGTCCTCCTGGTGAATAAAACATCAGCTCAAGGTAAAATTTTTGTTGTTCTCCAAATTTCAATCAGTTCGCACTCATATATGTATAATTAAAAAAATAATAATTTAGTTTACACACAATAAATTTGAAGGAAGTGTTTCTCTGTTCAAAATAGTAATTATCTCAAGCAGATCTACTCAATGCCTCTGATATATCTTACTTATAAAACAAACCTTTAGCTGGTGGTAACTGCAGGAATACATCAGTTTTTACTGTAGAATAAGGCTTGTAAGATGTTACAGTTATTAGCTGAAGGAACAGAGCGGAAGGTGTGCAGTACCTCCTGACAGTTTTCTGTGGGACAGATTCTAGTCTCAGTCTGAATACCCTCTTTGCTGCAACTGAATGACATGCAGGGATGGGCAGCATCCTTCCATCTGTCTCCCACCTACACACACAAAGAAATATATCATGACAAGACATTAGAGTGCAATGATTCATTCTCAATCCATTTAAAATGCAATTTTCCTCTCAGAGAGAAGAAACAGATTTCTTTGTCATATACAGAGCCACAACATACCTCGTATACTTTTCCATCATAACTGCACGTCTTCTCAACTGAAAAATAATACATGAAGTAATAAGCGCCTCACAGAAGGCAAATTTTGTACTGGTTTTCATGTGAGTAGTAAGGAAGTATTCTTACCACAAATCTGATCACCACAGCAAGAGGTATTTACCAATACAGCATTGGGACTGCAGGTAGGAGGTGGCTCAGTAGGTCTTAGAAAACACTCCTCCGTCCGAGTCTGGTTGTTACACGTACACAGGTAACAGTCGGACTGCCACACCTCACCAGGCTGGAAGACAGGTATAGAAATACTTTACTATCTAGAGTCAGAGATGACTATTTTTACATCGATGAGAAAAAGATTCTTACCTGTCTGGGTTCACCAAGTGGCCCTTTACAGCCTGTAGGACGAAAAAACAAACTCTACATTAACACTTTTTAGAATGCCAGTAGATCAGAAATCATTACATACATTAGATTTCAAACAAACAATCAACATTCAAACATTGTTTATGTGTGAGTGTCAGCCCTGTACTGTAGGCCATGTTACTCACAGGGACAGTCAGACACACAGACGTTTGAGTGATTTCCCGCCCTCAACTGGTCACTTGGACAAAAACAACCTGGACTGTTGTTCTCGAGGGAGGCTCCAGTCTGAGGCACTCTGTACAGCCAAACGAAAAGAGAAAAAGAAATCAACATCTTGAAACATTTTAGATTTTAATAGACTGAGAAACAAACGTCACAACAAGTGTAATGATGTTATTTGGAAAAAGTAAACTTTACAGACCCTCCATAACAGAAGTCATCCAGCTTGGAACTACATTCTTTGTAAATCAATCCTTCTGGACATGTCACACCTGGAACATGAATACAAACACTGCAGTTATTAATATCAAAGGAGGAATTTCCCATTGAATCTTTAACCAAAACCTCACGACAGTAAGGTTTAAATAACACACAGAAAAGTGTGGAAAAAACATACAATAGACAGAGAAGGGATAAAAGGTGCATACCACAGGTTCCATTAGTCAGTTTTCGCCAGTCAATACAGAAACCAACTTTTTTGCACTCTTCAGCAGCTTGCTCCAGTGAAGAACAAGCACCGTTCCTGCATGAATCAAACTTGCAGTTCTTCTTTTTAAGGTTCATGTTCACATACACGCTGCAGTTTGAAAAGACTCTGGGGAAACAAAATTGAATTAATTAACAGTTATAGAGCATAAAACTCAAAACATACACAGTGAGGCAGACGGCCAAGGTTATACATCATCATACACCATCATAGTTTAAAAAACTGAAAGCTAGGTATAGAGAAACTAGAGAAATATAGTGACTGTTGGTGGTTGCAACTATGTGTCTACATTAGTCACAATCAAACAAAAGCATTCCACCTTGCTTTTATACTATGCAGTGCGATCATAGTAGACATTTATCAGAAAACGCACTAATTCCCAATTCTACCATCAATTCTCTGACAAGGTGTGTGTGTGTGGAACTTACGGGTGGTGTAGCAGCTCACATAGTTGGCTTGCAGGGCAGGGGGTGGTGAGAGTTGTGCTAGTAGTGGTCATGGAGTGACAAGGTACATCCCTTGGTGCAGAAGCACAGGCTGGCTTCAGCGGATCGGCGTACACCCAGTCATAGGCCGTCTTATCACAGCAACTATCGTCCTCAATCTGCCCTCCTTTACGGATACATGAGCCAATGCCACACACACCTGGTGAGAGGACGGAGAGATGAGCTTCAGAGAGATGTGTGATCAGATATCTAATATACGCATATACAGGATAGCAGCTTTTCAGTGGCATTTCAAATATCTTAGAAACCATTGCGGGGCGCCATCATGGTCCACAAAAGAAGTAGCTCAGCCTAAATAAACCCTAAATACACAAAAGCTAAATCAGGAAAAGATTATTCTATATATATATATATATATATATATAGAATAATCTATATAGATTATTATATAGAATAATCTATATATATATATATATATATATATCAAACTTATCTGATGAAGTAGAATAATTGGATATCAACATTGGATGACTGATGGTCTCCACTCTTGCAGATTGTATTATATCCAGCAGGACATGTATATTTAGGCTGCAAGAGCTGAACTGTATGCAGACATTTCCATCATATAACATGCATGCAAGACACAGCCTTAATTGTTTAGGGTTAGGATAAAGAAACTGGTCTTCACTTTATCAAACACAACTTGTTTGTTTGATCTGTGACAAGGTTTTTTTTTGCTTCATCTGAAAATCCACTGAACACAGACACACGTCTAAAATGGATGTACAGTATGCACTTAACAACACCCTTTCAATACATTACCTACCACATTGTCCTTGGGTGTTGTTGTGGAAGTGTTCCATTGCCAGACTGACCACCAGGGTCCAAGATGGACTGAGGGATACATAAGAGCGGACCTCGGGGAGGTAGATGGACACTATGTACCCTGTGGTCTCAAACCTCCACCCTTGCTCCTCATATGGCGGCACTATGGTCACATTGTTCAAAGTGGCCTAAGGCAGATTACAACAATATCAAAACTGTCTCATTCTTCCAAGAAAATATGGAAGGCTTCAATCTTGACATATACTATAAATAAATAGAAAGTTATATGCTACCTGTACTGCATACAAATGTGGAATGATATTGAGTGAAGCTATATTGTTCTGATATTTCAGGATGATGCCCTTAGCACAGGAGCCATCAAGTCCTGGCACACAGAAGAAGTTTTCCACTGCAATGGTCAGATGATGACGTGGTGACCGCTCCTCCACAAGGATATAGGTACAGTCGTCCAGGAAATCAAATGGTACGCCTTGGAACGAGATGTAGTGGGGGTCCCCATATAACTCACAGCGACCTAGAGACGGTAAGGGAAAGAATAAGCAGTGGTTTTAGTAGATAGATGGGAAACAATAGCTCTAGGGATGATGTTCACCACCAGACTAAAATATCTCAAATATTGGATGGATCGCCAATAAACTTTCTACAGACATTCATGTTGCCCACATGAATGATTGTAAGAACCTTGTAAGATCCCTTAACCTTTCCTCTAGAACCATCATCTGGTCCAACTTGTCCAATACTTTATATTATGACCAAATTACCTGCAAAACTAACAACATTCCCATTCGTCTTAGCTGTACTGTGTGTTTAGTGTTAATTAGTAAAGTTTAGCATGATAACACAATAAACAAAGATGGTCACCTTAGTGAACATTGCCTGCTAAACGCTAGCATCTAAAACTTGTCACTGTGAGCATGTTAGCACTCTAAATCAAATAAAATACCACATAAAAAAACAGAGATATATGTAGAGGCAAATGACCTATAAGAGTAGTTTCTTTGAACGTAAAAGAAAATGAGAGCTAAAAAGAGCAGTGACAGACAGACATGGATGCACTTACAGTCACACTTCCATGTTTCACAGCATCCATCCGAGACTTTCGTTTTTTGATTTCTGGGGCAGATGGGAATTGTAGGCTCTGGACAAACCACTGAGGTCAACTCTATCTTTTTATTTGTACAAGTCTTAATGAAGCAGTCCTCTGTCCACGTCTCGCCGCAACTCCAGGTTTTTTTCCTCATGAGGTCTACACACTCACACGCTGATGGTTTGAGTAACACAACAGCAGAGGACAGTGAACATAGAAACAAACACATTGTTGAAATGATTGAACATGAAAGGAAATAACTACTAGAGTAACTGAGTAACTAACTGAGTAATATGCAGAACAAATAAAGCACGCACTGGGAGGTGTTGAAGTTTCAATGACACTGACACTCGTTGGGCCGGTGGTTTCTTCTGTCATCACTGTTGTGCCTGATTCTTCAGGGGTTGTCAGTTCAGTGGTAGATGTCGCATTGGTAAATCCTTCACTTATGGACATCTTGGTGTCATATGTTGTTGTTGGCATCATCGTAGAGTTAGTCGTCACTGCATCAGACATTGTTGATCCTGAGGAGGTAGTAAGTTGAGTGGTTGATTGGGTAGAGGTAAATGTTTCAGTGGAAGCTTCTGTGATGGTTACTTCAGTCGGACCTGAGGTTTCAGCAGTAGCATTGGTTGCAAAAGTGGTTGTTGACTGAAGTGTTGTTGCTGTTGGCTTGGTCTGTTTCGTTGTTGGTTGAGTTGTGAAAGTATCTGTTGATGTAAAGGTTTCTGTGCTCTCTGATTTTGTTATCCATGTTGAAGCATTGGTGTATAATGTGGTAGGCAGAGAGCTGGAAAATTCAGATGTGGGTAAGTCAGTCGCAGTTGTCTGTACTGTAGTAGATTCAGTGCTATTTGTTACTGCTGTAAGCTGTATTGAGGTAGCAGTTGTCACTGAAGAAGTGGTATTCATTCTAGTTGTAGATGAAGTGGTGAGTGGGAGAGTAGTGATATCTGATGTGTTACTCACTTCTGTAGGGGTTACTGAGGTTACAGTGGTGGTTGCTGTCGTTGGTGTAGAGGTGGCGGTTAGCGCAGTTGATCGATTGGTGGTGGGGGTTGTTGACCATGTTTCAGCAGTAGTTGAGGCAGTTGTATTTGTTGGTGTAGAAGTGGTAAAAAGCAAAGTTGACCAATTTCCAGTAGTAGTTGAGGCATTGGTAATGGACGTCATTTGTGTAGTGGTGGTGGAGGGCGTTGTTGAGGCAGTTGTAGTGGTTGGGGTAGTAAAGTACATTGACCAGTTTCCAGTAGTAGTTGAGGCATTTGTAATGACGTCATTTGTGTATCGGGTGGTGGAGAGCGTTGTTGAGGCCAGTTGTATGGTTGGGTAGTGGGTGGCTGGAACCAGTACACGTGACCAGTTTCCAGGTAGTAGTTGAGGGATTGGTAATGGATGTCATTTGTGTATGAGTTGTGCCGAGGTGTGTGTTGAGCAGTGTGTAGTGGTTGGGGGTAGTGGTGGTGGAAAGTACCAGTTGGACAGTTTCCAGTAGTAGTTGAGGCATTGGAGCCCGTGATCATTTGTGTAGTGGTTTTGGAGGGTGTTGTTGAGCGATTGTAGTGGTTGGTGAGTGTGGTGGAAGTACAGTTGACCCAGTTTCCAAGTAGTGGTAGTGAGGCTTTTAATGGGCAGTCATTGTGTGTCGGTGGTGGTGGGGAGGCTTTGTTGAGGCAGGTTGTAGTCGGATTGGGGGTCAGTCGGTGGTTGGAGAATACAGTTGAGCCAGTTCCGAGTAGTAGTTGAGGCATTGGTACGCCGATTAATGGACGTCATTTGTGTAGTGATGGAGGGCGTTGTTGAGGCAGTTGTAGTGGTTGGGGTAGTGGTGGTGGAAAGTACAGTTGACCAGTTTCCAGTAGTAGTTGAGGCATTGGTAATGGACGTCATTTGTGTAGTGGTGGTGGAGGGTGTTGTTGAAGCAGTGGTAGTGGTTGGGGTAGAGGTGGTGGAAAGTACAGTTGACCAAAATTCAGTAGTAGTTGAGACATTGGTAATGGTTGTCACTGGTGCAGAGGTGGTTGTAGGCATTGGGGATGTTTCAGCAGTAGTAAAGGCAATTGTAGTAGTTGGTGTAGTGGAAAGCACAGTTGTTTCAGTGGTAGTAGTGGCAGGTGTAGTTGTGTGTGGAGGTGCTGTTGGAGTAGAGGTGCAATTGAGGTCTGGTGTTTTGAAAGAAGGCTATATATATAACATTTAAATAGCTGGGCACAAATTGGCACAAAAACTAAAAGTGATAGACACATGAAATAGTAAATGTAATGATAGACTATAAACACTATTTCATACTTACAACACTTGATCGTTCCATTTTCACAGTGGCTGACGAGAATAATATGAAATATTAAGAAATATCCAGTTGTCAGTTCACACATATGTAAAGGAAACAATCATTCATGTTACCTTAAAAATTTACATATTTAGACACTGTATATATATTAAGAATGGCCCAACTTACCACTCAATAGACTGTATCAGCACTACTTTCCCAGACTGAAGGATAGTGTCATTGAATAAACAGGTGCAGTTTCTCAATTGGGTGCATTCACCAGTATTTTCATCATAGTATGGCGCCTCCAATGAACATCTGGGGTAACAGCCTTTTCCAAGAATAAACATTATGTTTATTTTATGGGTGCAAATGGCTTTTGTAAGCATTAATTAGGCCAAGAATAAAACAAATATTCAATAGATATCTAAATTGTGAGAATTTTATTATAATGGCCAGATTGTTTGCAGTACTGCCAGAATTAGTCAGAAAATAAGTAACATTAAGACATTTTTTTCACTTTCCAGATTCAACAGATGATCAACAATTCGGGTTTAATTGTTATATTTGAAAACAACTGAGACAGTTTGGTTACCTTCCAGCTTGTGAGTAAAGTAGTTGCCTTCGCCACAGGTTAGCATCTTCCCACAGGCTTCATAGTGCCAGCTACACTGGCCCTTCTCATTGTAGTAGTCACAGTAGACCGCTATGGTTTAAAATGAGTTATAGTTTGTTTTGAAAACTTTTCAGTAGTTAGAAATTAACACACTTTTAATAATATGGATTGTAGGCTATAGTGATTACTTTATTTATGTCTGACATAGTGTCAGCCCTCTGCATAATGACAAAAATGTTTTACATATTGATAAAACATTATATAAAGTAATGTACTGCATGTCTCATGTTATTCAACTATTAGGCAAGTAAAATTAAACAAGAGATGATACATCTTTAGCATTTTGAGCGCAGCCTGCTAACTTTTTTCCTACTGTAAAATGCATCTTGGCATGACAATCCCCTTTAATCAAGAATCAACTGAATAGTATTGATCTAATCAATGTTCTCTTTATGGGTTTAAGTTAAAAGTTATTCTCAAATGTCAACATTACCGTTACCTCCTTGCTCAACATCTGAAGAGTTATGTTCAAACTTTCGTTCGTGGGGGCAAAAGGGTCATAACTTACGACACAAATCAGGTGTTCTCCAGTTCACACATACATCCTGATCACTGCAGGCCTCTGCATAGGCTGCCACAGCTGTGCAGAAGCCCAGGAACTTCCCTTCAAACTCACAGGAGCATGACTCCTGCACACAGGCATGGTAGTAAGGCTCTGGATCCACCTGAGGAGTGTAGAACATCCAAAATAGAACATTTATTAACACTTTAAGGACTCTCTGTTAAGGCCTATTACTGTAAATAGTAGATTTGGACAATAAATGTTTAGTGTCGACACTGAGCTGTTATAGGTCATTGGTTTATTGGAAAGATCTTTCTATGCTACCCTGCTTCCCAAATGTACCTGCACAGGAATCTAACCCCCGATCATGCTATTAGTGGCATGCTAAATATGTTAAATGCGTACTTTTAAGTGGCAATCTTTGAATGTGTCTCCTGTAAGGATCATACAGCGTCGCTGGGCCCAGGCTGAGCAGTAGGAGTTGCGTTCACAGGGAAATATCTCCTTGGTCACATCAGAGCAAGGAGGTGTGGCGGCTCTCCAGCTGTTCCCAAATGTCAGGGGACTGGACATCGCTAAACACAGATTGTTGGTGTTATTTTTCAGTTTTCTGCTTCATAAAAGAAAATAAAAAATCTATTTACCTCCTGAGCCACTTATCTGCAGGTCATTCATCTCATTGGAGTCAAAATTCCCACAGAGGCCACACACTTGGTTCTGCAGGAGAGATGGTTGAAAATAGATTTAAAAATTGTATTAAAAGGTTTTAAAATTACATGTAAAATTAACAATGGACTCTTAGGAAGGATGAACCTATGAGTGATGGTCGATACATAGTGGCTTTCATCTAAATCAATCAACTGGTTAAATAAATAAATCAATACACAGCTGAGAAAGAAAGCAAGAAGACACAGTGTACACTGAGGATCAAAGTGTGTAGTCATGTGACAAGTAATATATATATGACTAGATTTCAAATCCTCATCACTCACTCTCAAGTCTGCATGCAGTTCTATGGTGATCCTGGTGTGTTTGTCCCAGATGAGCGTTATCCCTCTGCTTGGCACTGAGATTATGATGTAGAGTCCCACAGTGTGTGTGGAATAAAGTGAATCTTCCAGCAGTGTCCAGCCTTTATGGTGCTGTCTGGTCACCTTCATGTCGCTCAGTGTCAGGGTGACTAGGCCCTTGACAGCACAGGTATAAGAATATCTTTTAATTATTGATGAACAAGTCACCAGACTTTACTGGTTCATGACCATTTATCTTCCATAAAAGTCAGTCAGTAGCATGCTTTGATTCTTTAATCGTGACTGTGTGAAGTGTGTGAAGCAATGGGATTAAAAAAGTAAATACAGGAATCGATATGATATTATAATGAAACAATAAATAAACATGTGGACAATAGCTCAGGTTTTCAGTGAAGAAAAACAGCAATCACAGAAACAAATTGCATTCACCTGCATGTCAAGGATGATAGAGCGAGAGCAGGTGAGCGCCTCATCACAGCATGGTACACTCTCCACTCTGACAGAGAAAGTGCCATTTCTTTTTCCACAGTAATCCTGAAGTAAAAAGATCAGAGTTAAAAACTATTTAAAAAAAACTATAGCCTATGTTTAAAAAAAAAAAAGTTCTTTGGTTAGGGTATTTGGATTATGTACTTTGTCATTTGAATTCCTACAAAGCTTGAGCAAAGATACGTGTGAGCAGTGGATTTTGCTTTCATGTTGGGTCTCACCTCTACAAGTGTGTACTGACAGTGTCCATCAAAGCGGTACCATTTAGAGTCAAAGGTCTGGTAGTGTCCGTTTCCGTAAACTTGACACTTCCCAGGACAAGGCTCATCTTTGCAGTGCCACTGACCCTGACCACAGGTACTGTAAGATAGAGAGTAAACCTTTTAGTCAGCCATGGACTTTGCATCAATGGCTTCACCAGCGTAGACTTTTTGAAGTAGGAAAGCAGCACTAATGCAGGTGTTACCATGTTTTGCAGTTGGTTTTGACCTGCTGTCCTGCACTGAATACTTTGCCACTGTACACACAGGTGCAGTTGTCCAGAGAAACACAGTTTCCACTGTGATCCTCATACTGGTCATGTGGGCAGTAACAGCCACTATCACATGTCATACTGGTGCCCTGGAAATCACACCAAAAGAAAATAATTTATCTCAAGGATAAGTTTGATCCATCACAATAAAATAAACTGGTTTTGGACTAGGGTAGGGGGTAATTGTTAGAATGCAGAATAATGTAAAGCATGTACTGTAAATACAGAATAGATAATCTGTTGACCTACCATTGGTTTGCTGAGACTGTCGCAGGTTTTCTGAGCCGTGTTAACTGGGTACTCAGCACAGTGAACACAAACCTTCCCATTTTTGCACCCTGATGAAAACAATTAAATATATAAGACATATTAATGTGTTAATTATATTTCAGTTTGACACATTGTCAAACATGTTTCTTGCATTAAATTGTTCAGTAGTAGTTTTTGGTAAATATTTGGAATGACAGAATATATATTTACCACAATCCTTAGAACACTGTAGTTCTCCATTTTCACAGAAACTGCAATAGACAATATTTGGTTTGAACACGGTAGGTAGAGACAACTGAGCACACTACAAATGACCCGGCTCACAAATCACAAGACTGAACCCAAATGCAAGACAGCAACAGGATGACTTCAGTAAATTTAATATTGATTCAGCTTACAGGCAGGTATAGGAAGACAGGTAACAGGCAGGTAGACACTAAACAGGTTCAAGCAAAGTAAAACCAAAAAAGGCAACACAGGGACAAAGCAAACAGGATAAACTGACACTAAAACAAGGGAACACAGACCAAATACACAGGTGAAAATAATCAGGGCAGGGCAGACAATACAAACTGGAGGGACAACAGACAAAGACAGGTGCGTGAAGTGAAGTTAAACCAGACACAAGACAAGAAGTATTGCAAAATAAAACAGGAAATAACTAAACCCAAAACCATGACAATAAGACTTGGTTAGGGCAAACAGTGGATAACAGCCTCATCAGCTTGGGAAGTAAAATGTTAAAACATGCTTTTCAAATGGCTGTAATACTCAATCAACCTACCACATTCGTCCGTCAATAACAACAGACCCTGGTGGTGTTATACCACCGTAGTAGTGACAAACGCACTCTGCCTTTGCGGTACAGATGTGTCCTTCATTCAGGTGAGTACCCTCTGGACAGCCACAGCCCTCCACAGGCGTACTGTCCAGCCCACAGCGAGGGTCAGGGCCAGACAGGGAGCGGCATGTGTGGTTACAGGCTTGCACGTTGTAGGAGAATTCTTGGTTCTTCTGACATGTCAGAGCTGTGACACAACATTGTATTTTCAGAGGAACAATAAAGTTGGGGGATATAGACAGATTTAGCTGTATATATTTATCAAAGCTGAACTCACTGCAGTTAGTAGCTGTCCTCCAGTCACCAACTATGACACCCAGATTGGCACAGGCTTTGGCATAGCTGCCCAGAGCAACACACAAGCACTGCTGCAGACTGCTGCCACACATACATGTTCTTTGGATGCAAGCCTGGAAAAAAAAATCCGTCCATGTTAATATTAGTCAATATCAGTTAGTTTGCTGAAAACGCCAAGAACTAACTAAGGATTTACTTTGGTACAAAAGTCTTGTTACCGTGTGGTAGTGATCGGTTGGGATATGACCATGGCACTTGGCAAATATCCCGGCTGGGTTGTTCAGGACAGAGCACTTTTCATCAGCAAATATTTCTTCAAAAATACATATTAAGATAATGAAATAAGTTAGCAAAACAATATGGAAGTATCTTTTCTCACATCAAATATAACATAGTTTTTTAATATAAGAATGTATTATTTCATTGTATAGCTTTTAAAATAACATTTCATCTCTGATATACAGAATTCAAGAAGACCATAAAACATTGTGTGTGAACATATTTTTAACATTTTAATTCAATTAAATTTTTAATTCTATTTTATTGGTATAGTGCCAATTCATAACAGAAGTTGTCTCAAGACACTTTTCAAATAGAGCAGGTCTAGACCGAACTCCTTACAAAAACTCCATTTTACAAGCACATATATATTAATTAGTACCATTGTCTGTGTTGGTGCAGGGGGGTATGTTCACTGGACAAGTATCCACACTCCAGGACTGAGCAAAAGGTTGAGCTGAGTTTTCGATGATCCCGCTGCTGGTGGTGAAATCGTCTGTGGTGTCATTGTTGCTGTTGCCACAAAGACCTGAAGGACACGCCGGCTATAATTACAGCTCAAACTGGATCACGCATGAGAGCTCATAAAAAACTTGTCTGTCTTGTTTCTGGTTACCCTGCCTGCACAATTGTGACAATGCCAATATAGCTTGGCCTGTTTGTAGACTGAGATCCTAACCTGAGATCATGCCAGCGTGGTTTGTGGGTGGGGTGATGTACAACTGGATTTCAGGAGACGTCTGGACTTGGATCTTCATACCAAAGGATGTGTGGACCTCGACGTACATGGAGGACTGCCAGAAAACCAGAGCATGATCTGACAGGCGACAGAGGTCGGTAAGTTATTGGTAGGTGAGTAACCAAGCCAATATGGATGAATTACTAGCTACCAGACATATATATTCACGTTAAGGACCAATGCAATTAAAAACAATGATTTCCCCCCTTTGTTTTACCAGACTGATGAAGTTCAGTGATCTCCTCCTCTCCAATTTTAGCCGTGTTCTGTGAGAATGTATACGTTTCCTGCAAATCCATAAAAGAAGCACATTTATATTCACTGACTGCACATTACTCTTGCTTGACATTTGTGTGATAGATCGTTTCAAATTCAAAGATAGCTTTTACCTGAAAAAGCTGAAGACTGACTGTTTTCAGAGAGGGGGCCTTTTGGGAAAACTCAATCATTACTGTCCAGTTGAGACCCTTGGAAATCATTTTAAAAGAGCAGTTAGTATCATAAAAAGACAACATGGGTTAATATTAAATGTCTGGTTAGTGCTGAAAACTCACCTGCGAGGCCACATATTTACATTTACCAGGGAGGACATATTGTTTGCCATCAACTGTTGTCACAAACTGGCCTTCAATGAGACATCTGGAAGGGCAGAAATTTTCCGAGCATTGCCATTTCCCACTGTCACACACACTGTGGAGAGAAATTAGCATAACATTTGAACGAAAAAAAAACTTCAAATAGGATCATTTTATTCGTCCTGATTTGAATTCATGTAAGTATCAAAGCAGTTTTCCAACCCACTTACCATGACTGACACTTGGTATTGCGTATGTCTCCAGTTGAGAAGCTCTTGCCATTAAACACACAAGGGCAGCTCAATACACTTACACAGTGGAAGCCGTCTGTGTGATCATTAAGCACCATACCTAGAATGTAAATGTCAATCTTTTTATCATATTATTTAAGCTAAACAAGCAATTAAACAACGGGGTCAGATGAGTTAAGAGCTAAATCATACAGTCAGACAGTGCTCACCCATCGGGCAGACACAGGAGCTAACGAGATCCTGGTTGGAGAATCTGGGGTTCGGGTTGGAGCAGCTGGGAACAAAGGCCGCACCCTGTTCTACATAAACCAGGTCTCCTGGACAACTCGGTATTGCTGCATTCACCCACAGAAACAGAGACAATCACATCAAGAGTCCATCAAATTAAGTCTATCAAATAGGTCTCCAAACATAAACCTGAACAAATCTGGAGAGCTTTAAATTGTAGCACCTACCACATTTGGTTACCATTCTCCATATGTTCCAGGCATAGCTGCTGTTTCCACACTGCTGGACAACTTCTTTGAAGAAAGCACAGCCGATGTATTTGTTCTTTTCATAGCTGTAAATGTTCTCTTTGCAGAGTTGGATGTAATGAGGCGTCCTGGCTTGGAGACAATCCAAGGTGTAGGAAAAGAACATTCTGCATACCTACAAAGGTCATCAGAGAAACCACCTGAACATCTGGAACTAAGACACTGCATGTAATTGTAAACCAGGTAAGATATGTATGGCTCAATGTCTTTTAAACTGACATGATATCATTTAAGGCACTACTCAGCATCAGTTGATTTATAACCTGTGTTTTTCTTTTCAGTGGGATCCACGAGTGTATACAACTCAGAGAAAGTGCAGAAAAAGCTGCAACACAAACAGCAGACTGGAAATAACATGATCGAAACAACAGTTAACTCACTTCATTCATAGCGAAGGCAGGATCTCGGGTTTGACATGTGTCGTCAGCAAGCACGCTGTCTTTGATCGACTGCTGTTTGTTTCCTAATTTCATAAAAATGTCACATTCTTATAATAAACTGCATGCAAACAAACATATAAACAAAATGTGTACATTCCTAAGATCATCTACATTATAATGATGAATGATTTTTACTATTTCTCCTGCCACCAACATTGTAATTGCTACTACTACTAAAAGTACTGCTGGTAATGTATCTACTATTACTACTAGCTATACTACAGGAATCCTGCTATTATTTCCAATCATTTCATTATAATACCTGGGATATTGTATTTTCCACACAGTCCAGTCATGTCGGTGCTCAGCTCCTGCTCCAGCTCCACCTTAACAAGTTTTTTTAAAAAAGCTTCAGTGGGTGAGAATATTGCTCTACAGTACCAAATATGTATGTGTGCACATATTTGGGGGCCTGTGTTTATGTTCTCTTGTGTATGTCTACTGTATGTTGTCAACATATTTATCGCAGTGTCCTCTCACCCAGACAGTGTCTATTCCTCCAGGTACATTGTGCCAGGTAACGGACAGAGGAAGCAGCGAGCTCCTCAGTTTAGTGTAGATACCGTAGTGAAAGATATGCTGGTAGGTGTGGTCGTATGGAAGGGAAACACTGTCAACAAATAAATACACAGAGATATTAGGACAGGTACTGATACAGAGAACAGGGTTATCACACTGAATTTTAAAGAGAAACAAATGCAAAAATTATTTAATCTAAAGAAAAATAAAGACAGATGTTTAGGTTGCATTTTGACAAAACAACGCAAATAGCAAAATTCCCCCCCCCCCAAAAAAAAAATAAATAAATATATAAAATATATATTTGTAAGTTAACTTGAGTCACCTTGTAGATTGTAACAACTTTAACTTGATCAGGAAATCATTAACAATGCTCAGTGTTCCGGAATAACAGCTAATAATTAACCAAGATTGATGACATTATGAATGCATAAAAGTGTCAACCACCTGGCTGTGTGGACGAATGCCATTTGAGGGAATGATCTGAAGTGTCTTTGGGCAAAACACCCACCTGCTGTTTTCTCACATTCTTACTGTTGTTGATGTGGCTGAATAATTTTTATTTTTTAAGATTATAATTTTTTATCTAAACAAATATATACTCAGAGGATGTGCGATTTGATCAAACTTTGCATGACTTATTATTTGGTTTTCCATCTGGCTACACTTTCCCTGTGGTGAAACAGTATGAGGGTGGGTTAGAGGTTGGGCCCGAACCTTTTCCTCTCCACCATGATGCTTCCATTCTGCAGAACAGTCCTGATTTTGTTGATGATGATCTCGACTTGGGCCAGCAGCCCATTGTCACCTCGCCGTGTGGTGATATCACATTCCACCCGGTTGTGGGTGAAGCGGGTGAGGGTGAAAGGACAGTTGGAATGCACATAGAAACTTGAACCATTGAAAGGCTGCACAACCCCGCTGCCAAAAGTCCTGCAAATGTCTGATCATAACAAAGGTCAATTTACTGATTAGACAATGGCTAAAGACATGACTGAAGTCAATAATAACACAATAAATCAATGACATTATTTAGCTATGTTGGTTTTCGGGTTTTTCTTGCTAAAGGTGTTAACTACGGAAGCCAAGAATAGCTGTGCTTACACTTTTTTTTATGCCGTTATTTCGAGATTACAAGCTGTGTTATCTTGAAATAACAACATAATCAACTTATTATCACAAGAAAACAGAAGGTTGTGTTCTCTTAGATAAATTACCTTGTGATTTTTTAGATAGTGGTTTTAAAAGAATAATTGTAATAATCTTGACTTCTGTACTAATCAGCAGTACTATCCTTTCAGTAATCAATTCAGAACTCAATAATGAAATCTAATAACTTTGATTACTTTTACATTCAAATCACTCTAATTATGAAAAAGTCAATTAACTTTTTATAGTACTGAATATTTTTAATGACCAAATTACACCACATGATTAACTATTTTTTGTAAAAAGTAATCTGTAAAATGAACCGATCAGGATTGACTCACATTTCCGAGTTTCTATTGTTGCGACCGATTCCCCTGTCCCTATAACTAGGAGAGAAATACAGCATTAAGGACGAAGTAAACATTCATAATAACTGGATACAGCTAGAATCTTATTGTTATAGAGATACCGTATTTGATTTAAAAAAAATATATATTTAATGCAGAGATAAAACGTATTATCATCCTTTAGTGACAGTAGCAATAATGCAATATTAACAATTCCATTAAGTTTAAGCTTAAGTCCTGCATTGAAAATGTCACTTAAGCAAAAGTACAAAAGTATTATTAGTTTAATCTACTTTGACAGTATCAAAAATAAAAGTAGGCCAACTCCTAATTCAGAAATTGATTAAATGTACTTTTTTTATTCCACCACTCAATATAAAACTGATCTGAACTTTTCCAACTCCAGTCAAATGTGACAAAGGACTTTTTCTCTAATTCTACTCTCTAATTCTCAAGTACTAGTTAAAAACTTAAGAAATTGATGAATAAATGGCTGAACTAAAACATACTGGGAACATAAAAACACATGAAAAACAACAAATCATTTTATAAAATATGTCAAATGTTGAAATACTGAATGTTAACCTTTTTGATATTTTTTCTTATATATATATATAATTTGATTTTTCAATATCCTTATCACTCAGTGTTTCTGCTTAGAAGAATTAATTCATATTCAGATGATTAAATTAATTATTGCATGGTACCTGAGACTAGTGAAAAACAGACAGCCAGCATCCATCGCTGTGAGGTCATGCTGCCTGATGCGTCCTGGTTGCAGAAGAGCAGGTGAAACCAGGAATAACTGCACTAACAGCCCACCACATGGCTTATATATGCAGTGTCCATTTACACACACACACACACACAAACACAGATATGTGTGTGAGATATGGTGTGACAACCCATTGTGCACACCTAGACATACGCCCTCACCCACGCACTCTTTAAATGAAAACACCAGGAAACTAGAAATAGAAAAAATAATCTGATTAAACATTAAACTACATGGTATTAACCAGAAATGTGGAAATGATCACACAATGTTGGAAAACCATCTTAATTTAAAGCATAATCCTGTTTATCATGTTGCATTTACAGCAAAAGAGATCTATTTCATTATTCAACAATCCCTCTGATGTATACTCCCGTGGGAAATTGTGTGTGTGTGTGTGTGTGTGTGTGTGTGTGTGTGTGTGTGAAAGAGGATGGATGCACACACAGTTTGGAAAAATCAACATCAAAATTAATTCCAACGTAGAGTTCGAAAAGCCTGTTCTTTCATTCCTTTAAATCTGTTTCCTACCACAAATGATAAAAATCAGTGTCACCAAGGGCTAATATATTAAGTCCTGTATTATGAACAAAGAGGGATTCTTACTTTTGGCAAACACTGTTAAACCAGACAATGCCTTTCCAAGACATGTAGACAATGAGAAAATGAGAAATGAGGCTGTGGAAAGGGGCCAGGGTGCATGAACCAGGATGTAGTTAGTTATTTTTTCGTTTGAGAGCTGAGGGGAAAGTACCATGTGATGCTTAAAGATGTGTTATGCAGCTACTCAGATTTCTTTTCACGCAAAGATTATACTTAAAGCTGCAAACTGAGTCAAAATCAGTGAAGTGGTAAAAGGATTAAGAGGCTTATCAACAATAAACAGGCTATTAAACCTGAGATCTTTCACCTTAACCCACCGCATTGTAATAGGATATTACGTTCCAATTAAAATTCTCAGTGTGTAGATATATGAATTAAGGAGTACTTTCACTGCACATAACTAAACTGTAAACATTTTTTAAAATGTAATTAGTCTTTTAAGTAGTTAAATACGGTTGTAAAACACTACAAAATACTGTATGTGTATATTTTAAAACCTATAGCTGGCATGGACATTGTAAAATAATTTGCATTGTTATGTCTTAAAGCTACATTCATTGATTTTTTTGAGGTCACTAAGGACCAGGAGAGCTCAAAAACAAGCTAACTGACACACACACACTCTTGATATATTATCACTGTGAAAGGCTATGGCTAACATCAGGCAGCTACCTAACAGTAAGCTACTTACATTCAGCAGACATGGAGCAACATTGTCATTCATTTGGAGTCACGTTTCTGGCCACTGGCAAATATTCACTCACGTATTCACATTGGTTCGATCTCCACAGATTCCAGAAAAAAATCCTGAGTAAATGTCTCATGAAACAAAAACAATGAGCTAAAATAGGCTAAAAGGTGGGTGATATTGGGTTCATGCTAGCGACCCTGTTCATTTTCATTTTCAAGAGCAGTGGAAGTTGAGTGATAATTCTCAGTAGCTTAATCACTGCTACTGACCTTTTTCATGTCACATATACACATTTGATTCACTGTTGATGATGAATAGTGGAGCTTTAACACTGAAAGTCAAGTCATGTCAATTTAATATATATAGCCCATAATTAAAAGTCACAATTTTACTCAAGGGGCTTTAAAATCTATTAATATTTTTTACAAACAAGGGAAAAACTCCCCAAACAAACCTTTAACAGGGAGGATAAAGCAAGATCAACAGGTAAGGGATTCCTCTCCCAGGACAGACAAAAATGCAATATAGGTATGTATACAGAATAGATCAACAACAAAAAAAATCCCCAAATATCAAACATCAGTATAGTCTCAATCAGTATTTTTCACAGCCGACACCTTTGCTGTTCCTTCTGCAGTATGACATCACAGTGCCTGAGATGATAGTTGTCAATATCCAGCCCACTTGGCACAGTAGGTCGGAAACCAAGCCACTGCTCTGTTTCCTCAATTAGAACAGTTAATACAACATTGCTTTCATCCTCTCTACAGGTTGCAGCCCAGTCCTTACACCTAGCTCCACACCCACAGGATTGAGTTCTCTTAACCCTGTGCTGTCTTCCTGTAATGTTGTACTTCAACTAGCCCCACAGACTGATTTTGGTTATATGTTTGTAGTGCTGCAAATGGTCATGGTGGTCATTTGTTTGATTGCACAAGTTAAGCTTGATTGTGGAGACTAAAAGAAGAAAATGACTGTTCTAGAGTGATAAACACCTCAAGAAAGGGTTGTGTAGATCAACCCTTGTGACTGTGATACCTGAGGCTTGGCAATCTGACAGCTGATCAGCATTTGTCATCTGGGTACATACTATAAAACAGAAACACAATGGAAGCCGTTGTCTTAGTGCAGATCAATGAAGGAACATGCTTGAGGTTTCTGGTTCAGGGAAGGTTAAAGTGTCAGAGAGACTGTTAAAAGTTAAAGAATTGCATAATAAATACAGAGAATTGTATTAGAAGTTAGAGGAAATATCAGGAAAACTCCTCTCTCATCCAGTATTGACAGGAAATAATCTGCTCAAAATGAATCTAAATCATTTATTTTACACAAACTTCCTGCAGTTATTGTGTTCACTGTTTGATTTCATTGTACAGTTTATCAGTTGTTCTCTACTGTTATAGTTATACATTGAATATAATATCTATAAAATATGTCACTTAGTTTACTCAACAATAGAATAGGGTCCCTTAATGATTAAGGTTGGGAACCAGTGGTCTAAAAATAAGTGTTTAATCAACATCTTCAAGATGAAAGTAAAACGTTCACTTTTGAACCAATTTGATTTCTTTTCACTTTTGACCACATCTGTCACCCCTATAAAAAGGAAAATATTAAAACATGGGAGGCTAGCACCGTGGTACAACCACCAAACTCGCCAATTAAAGCAAAAAACAAGGAAATCTGAAAGGAAATGGCGCTCTTCCAAATTATTAGAATATCATAAAAAAATTGTCTTAAAACCTATAGAAAGGCCCTCCGTAATGCCAGAGGAGCCTATTATTCCAGCACAAATAGAAGAAAAATAATAAAAACCCAGGTTATGATTATATTTAATTAATTATTAGTTTATATATCATGGGACATGGATATTTACAAAAACTACTCATGGCAATCGGTTTTTAGATCCTCATGGATTGTTAAGCTCGGTGTATTTTGGTCCCTGAGGGTTCTTGTGGTTTTTCCCTAATCTGCACACTTCGCAGTTCTTGGTCAACTCTCTCTGTTTCCCCTTACCTAATGCGCCATGCTTGCCAGAAAATAAAGTGTCCTGTAAGCTGCTATGCCTGTAAATTTTCACAGGATCATGTCAATCACGGTGCTCCATTTTAAATTTTTCCAAATGCTGGTGAGTATTCCTCCGATACTGTTGTCCTAATGTAGTTTCCGCGCATACACTCAGGTCCAGGCATATGTTTATGAATTGAGTTTGTGTAATTTGTGGTCAGGAGGCTCACACAGCTGCCAGGGTACTTTGTGTCCACTAATTCGTTATGCATTTCCGCTCCTGTCCGTCGACTTATGTCTCTGCAAGTGGCGTAAGGTTTAACAACATGGTTTTACTCCCGGCTGGACCTCCGCGCCCGCGGAAGTTAATGAGTAAGATGGGGCACCATGTCTTTGCTGCATGCTCCATCAATAGATCAAAGATCAAAGAACACGGCTTATATCTTCTGATTTTTACGTCCTACAGAATCAATTTTTCATATAAGGCTGTTCTTGAATTCGCAAGTCCTTCATTATTCATAAGTACCTACAACATTTTTAAAAGTTCATACTCCCTGTCTTAGGTCCTACGCATGCAATCTCTATCTATGCAATCATCTCTTCTTACATTTTAGGGATCCGTACATGCACCATTCTTTTATCAACTGCCAGTTTACAGGTCCACTTCTTAAAAAAGCGCTCTCTCAATCTCCGTAGACCAGAATTGGAGACAAATTATACTATAGACTACCCGTAGTGGAAATCTCTAAATATATTCGTGACACAGGTTATTTATCTTCATCAATCTAGTTAGCATTAGTCTGGCGACTCGAGCTCCCTTGTACAGCATGGTCATGATTCGTGAAGTCAGAAAATCTGGAATGTGGAACAAATTCAAATCTAGGTTTTCGCAAAAGTAATATTGTCTTATTCGGTCTTTTTCTTATCGGTGCTGTGCTACTGAGGATGTCTATGACAGTGCTTTCTGCCATCTCGACATGTGAAATGGTTATATTACTTCTTGGACTTTAACTGCAGCCTTTGATACGTTGATTGCTTCGATCATAGTTGACCAGTTCTTTTGACAATGGACAGGAGTTACCGTATACGTCAGGGTTTTTTGTGGCATTTTGGTTCATACCTTAGTTAACAGTTGTTTAACAACTCCTACTCTGACAAATAGGTGTTTTTCAATGTCTCGCATTTATTATTCATGGATGGCTGCGCTCTTCCGCTCCCCTCAGGGGCATGTACAGTTTTTTGGTACCAGTTTCTTTGTTCTCCTGTTACATATCTTCCTCTGGTTCTCATTATTGGTGTCATCGAGAGCAGGAGTTGTTGGATCTTCAAGATTTTCGCAGACAGAACAAGGCATTTCTTAGAAACGAAAAGGCTTTAAAGTAGTGGCTCGCATTTCCATGGTCATGATCATCATCTTCCATGTTATGGGAGCGCAGATGAGGTAACCACGACGAAGATCTTTACTTGTTCGTGCGTAAAAAGACTCCAATAACTTGAATGTCGATATTCTTTGTCAACCTCCTTCACAAAGCTCTTCAATCTCTCCACTTCTAACAGTCGATTAGAGTTGGATCTATTAGTGCCAATTACAACCACCCACTGCATCATATATACCTCTAACTTTCTCCCTATCCTTGGAATGCATGACATACTGAGGATCATACGTGTGTGGAGGTTATTTGGCTAGCCTGACAAATTTTTCACCTGCA